CAAACTCTAAATTCATGATCTGAACCTTGGAAATAACAATTCAAAGATTCTATCTTATTTCATCTCTCGTTCCTTCTTAGCATCCTGCTTTCACAGTCATATATACGTACTAGAAATACCATTGTTTTAACTGTTCTGCTCTTTGTTCTCATTTTCCAATTAGGTGAAAAATGCAGATGGCAGAACACACCAATATGGCTGTACAAAAAGCTTGGTGAAGACTAGAAAACAGAAAAAGTCACTTATAGGAGATGGAAAGAGGGTCAGGTAACCAAGAAAAACCATGAGTACATAACCCTATAAAAACTTTAGAGATGAAGTCAGGAAAGCAAAACCACAGCCAGAGCTAAGGATGCCAAGCATAAAATAGACTTGTCCAAAAGTAATGAATAATTTCGGTTTCAATTGATTGTTCACGATCTGTTACAAATGGTCTCTTCGTTCTCTCTGTCCACCCGCATCACCACTTCCCAAGACTGTCCTTGATTAGTCTTCTTGTTATTAACTGCCCAGAGTCACTTGTGTCAGATGGGCAACCCTATAAATAAAATAGAGACCAAAGGGATTACAAAAATAAATAAAGTATCTTGAAAAGAAAACGAATCAGTGTGTCAGTTAATTTAGTCTCATCAAGCTTGCTCCCAATCCTTCCACCAGGAAAGCGAGGGTACATCTAAGGGGCATTTTCCCTCTTTATAAAAATGTATTTTATCTATGAATTTATCAGCAACTTTAGTCTCAGCAACTTTATTTGGCATACAAGTGCAAGCATTGCAATAACAATTCTGATCATAATATCGGAAATGCTACTTATTTATTTAACCCATGGCCATTATTTAAATGATTTTAACAATTATACTTAATGTAATATTCCTAGCATTCAGACCTGGGCTTCCACACCCACTTCTGGTAGAACAAAAGAAACATAACCTTGAAATTCAAGAACTACTAAAAGAAAATAAATGGCAGTTCAGTCCCGGAAAAGGAGAAAGGGTGGGAAAGAAACTCAAAATAACCCTACCTTGATTCTGTTTGGCATCAATAGGGTACAGGCTTGTTTGGGCAAGCTTTTAAGATTTCTTTATTATATCCTGCAAGATAAAGGTGCATTCCTGAATTCCTTGCTCTGCCCATGTCCTGATTTGGCCTACCTCAAGGCATGACACTTCCTTTCTTCTTCCCCTTTCTCCTTCTTCACCAAAAGTTTTTCATAAGAGCTCAGTTTTTTGAATCGCACATAGGCGCACTAATAAACAGCACTAAACTACTGAATTCAATGGAGGTGAATCCCCACTGCCCAACAAGGAGATGAGCTCAGAGTTAACCATTGGCTTCTCATGCAACACATCAAATACAACAGAGCTTCAAAGACCAATATACACAAAACCAGGGGTCTCCAACCTTGGCAACTTTAAGCCTGGAGGACTTCAACTCCCAGAATTCCCCGGTCAGCTTTGCTTTGCACTAAACCAACCCTTCCTTCTCCCTTGCAAACTCTAATTTTGCATAGAGTTTCACAGAGAAGTTCTCACTGTCTTCCAAGTTCCCTCCTTCTGAGTTAGATCACCAATCTTCTCTGCTTGACCATCTAAGTAGTATTCTCCCTCCATCATATGCATTGGGTGTAGAGCCCCACATAGCTGGCAAGACCAAGGAAGCAACAAGTCACAATTTCAGTAAATACTTTAATGCTAGTCTGGGGTAAGTACCGAATCTTGCATATTCTACAGAATAGAAATTTCCCAGCCTCGGATATAGTGAATTAAGTTGGAGTCTCTTTAAGGCATTTTTTTCCCCCTGACCCCTCACCATTTGGGTCAAATTGCCTTCTCTGAAGTCATATTTTGACTGGCTCATCCCCAATTCTCCCACAGATTCTCAAATCAGGTGACTTTCTGAACAGTTGAAACTTTCAACTTCTCCATATTGGCCAACCAATTAACCAACGAACCAACAAACCAATGTTCCAGAATTCTTCATCCAAAGCTTTGTGTTTCTCTTTTCATCAGATACATTTTAGCAAAGAGGGCGTCTCAGACTGTTGGTTCCAAACATCCTTCTTTTCTTCTTTCTCTCTTCTTGCTTCTATCTCCCCATCCTTGAAGTTGGGTGGGGAGGGGGCTGTTTCTGAACTTAGAATAACAGAGTTGGAAGGGACCTTGGAGGTCTTCTAGACCAACCCCCTGCTTGGGCAGGAAACCCTACACCACTTCAGACAAATGGTTATCCAACATCTTTTTTAAAACTTCCAGTGTTGGAGCATTCACAACTTCTGGAGGCAAGTTGTTCCACTGATCAATTGTTCTGTCAGGAAATTTCTCCTTAGTTCTAAGTTGCTTCTCTCCTTGATTAGTTTCCACCCATTGCTTCTTGTCCTGCCCTCAGGTGCTTTGGAGAATAGCTTGACCCCCTCTTCTTTGTCACAGTCCCTGAGATATCAGAACACTGCTACCATGTCTCCCCCGGTCCTTCTTTTCATTAAACTAGACATGCCTAGTTCCTGCAACCGTTCTTCATCTATTTTAGCCTCGAGTCCCCTAATCATCTTTGCTGCTCTTCTCTGCACTCTTTCTAGAGTCTCATAATGAAGACTTGCTCTCTGTATCCTCCCCAAACCAGCTTCTTTTCCTCCCATTCTGTCCTGCTACGGTATATAATCTTTAAGAGCTAGTTAAATGGAATCCTGATGCCAGCAGATCTCACAGGATGGGCAATCCAGTTCTTAGTTTTTATTTCCACTGTCATTTATTAATTTATTGGTTCCATCTAATTTGGTAATGTGACTTGGGGCAGCTAAATAATAAACAAGTAAGCAAAACGTATTGCTCCCCAAGCCTCTCACATACCTACTGATCAACCCTTTAAAAATAGGCTACTTTAACATCAGGTCTTCACGACTGAGACGAACCAGATCTTCCGAAACCTTTCAAAAGACCAGCAGAGTCAGAGCCCTCCAGATTGCAGAAGATATGCTGTTGCAGAGGACAGAGAAGAGAGAAGGCATTTCTCCCCCTTCTCCTGGGTCTTTACAGTTTGGCTATTTATCTCATCAACTTAAATATTTTGTGCCTTGCACCGACTTTATTGAAACCACTGAATTACATCTGTGCATCTCAAACTTCAGTGTTTGACTTCTGGGAAATATGGGAGTCAAATTCTAATGTGTTTGGTAATAATCAAGTTGGACAAGGTGATTTTTTTACTACCAGCTTACCAAATGTTAAGAAAACCTAAATCCCAACAAGATTCCACCCTCCAGCTTGGAATTATCTTAAGTAGGCAAGACCTATTGAATCCTTTATCAGTGTAAAAAGTACACCTTAGCACCACAACATATAATCCAACAGTGGGTTGTAATATGCCCACATATAATCACCCTTAGAAATAATATTATTTTAATAAAAAAAATTCAGAAAACAAATCCAGTCTTTTGGCTATGTAACTCTACTATTACACATATAATACAATATGTTCTGTTTCCTCAGTAATTGCCTTTTCTTTACTCATTTTGTGTCATAGAATTGATTTCTTTTCTTTTTCTGTGTTAAAAGAAAATAATTTGAAAAGGGAAGAGGGAGAGCAAAGGTACACAAGTGTGTTTTTTTTCTCATTCTATTACCCACAATTGCTTCCAGAATATGACATTCTGTTAATGAAAAAGTCAACCATAGGACCAGTTTGGATGATCCACTAGCTAGGTTCAGATTTTCTTGTACTTTAAGGAACACAAAAACCTGCAGAATCCTGATCTCTTTCAGAATTGAGATGGCTCCAAAACTCTATCAGTACTTACTGTAAATCCTTAATCTTGGTTTCTCATCTAAGCTTCTAGAGGCACTGTAGAAACAAAAGCAGTTGACAATGTTGAAGATAAATGTTATTGTCACCAAGGGGACACTCCTATATTCCAGCAAGACCCTCTCCAGAAATCATGGGAGAAACTAGCATTCCTTCCAACATCTTACATACTATGGGTCTTTCTTCAAAAGAAGAGGTGGAAATATATCCTCCTTCTCATATTGGTCAAAGTGGATAATCAGGGTTCTGCCATGTTTGTGGGTTTCCTGGAAGCATCTAGTAGTTGCTCAAACTTAGTTATGTATCTAGTTACATATTTCCTAATCACTGTAAGGTCTACATCATTAAAAGTTTCAGGTATATGTATAGAGGAGATCTGAACTCTCAGATGATTGTCAGAAGTGTTTTGAAAACTAATTGGCTATCTGACCTGCTCATCATCTCCTCTGGGTGAATGGGTCCCAGCACCGAAATAGCTCCATTGAGCAGCGCAAGAGCACCTTGTTCTTTTTGTTGTCCATCAGTGCTGGTTGACAAGACCAGGGCCATAGAAGAGGGACGGGAACATAGCTGGAGGAACACCAATCCCTTTCCGATCCACACCACTGCTCTGGTGGCACTGTTCTCATCTGCCCTGGGAAGCCAACCAACTCACCAACTTTGGTCTCCCAACTGAGGTTGAGATGACATGGACCTCTGCCTACTGCTGAAGCCTAGCTAAAAACACCTAACTCATTTCAGATGTTGGCAAAACTCTAGCGATCGCTTCTATCAACTTGAGAACAAGAGAAGTCAAGGTTTCTGGTCAGAAGATTATCTACCAGACCACTTTCGCCTGCTCTCAGCTTCCCAGCCTTTCCCCTCTCTGAACCTTCCCCGTCCTCAAGAAGGGCAGGACTCTTTCGCCGGTCTCCGTGGGAACAAACGGCTCACCTCCCCCACCCCCCGCCGCATTATAGACTGGCCTTTTTCTGTTAGCCAACGCCTGTCTTGCCCCACCTCCCCGCCCTTCTTCCTCCCCACTCTCGCCCCGTCCGGCGGCGTCGAGCATCTCCTCCTCGTCTTCCCCGCTCCGTTTCCTTCCCTTCCCTTCATAAGTGGGGCTCTATCCGTGGTGCCCACTCCCTCCCACCCACCCCCGCGCCCGCCGGCTCTCTACGCGCCCCGCCGCCCCTTGCGGCCAGCCCAGCCGGACCCTCTCCATGGCCTCGGGCAGCTACCGGTGCAACCGGACTCTGAGACTCGAAGCAGGTCAGTCGGTGCTGCCCGGCTCGTTACTCTTCGCGGCGGGGCTGCTGGGCAACGTGTTGGCATTGGGGCTGCTGTGGCAGCACCACCTGAAGGCGAAGTTGCAGCGCGGCCAGGGGCGCCCGCGGGCGTCCGCCTTCTACCTTCTGGTGAGCACCCTGGCCGCCACCGACCTGCTGGGCAAGTGTCTGCTGAGCCCGATCGTGCTGGCCGCCTATGCTCAGAACCGCAGCCTCATCGACCTGTGGCCGCCCGCCGCAACCAGCGAAGTCAGCCTGCCCGGGGAGGAAGCGATCCGCTCCCCGGGCAGGCTGTGTCAGCTGTTCGCTTTCCTCATGGCTTTCTTCGGCTTGGCGTCCACCATGCTGCTGCTGGCCATGGCCCTGGAGTGCTGGCTCTCGCTCGGCCAGCCTTACTTCTACGAACACCACACCAGCCGGCGTTGGGGCGGGCTGCTCACCGGCGCGGCGACCGTCCTCTGCGCTCTCTTCTGCGCCCTGCCGCTCCTGGGCTTCGGCAGCAACGTCCAGTACTGTCCGGGCACGTGGTGCTTCGTTCGCATGGCCGGCGACGGACGGCTCTATTCGGTGCTCTACGCTACCCTGCTGGGCTTGCTGGTGCTGGCCGTCGGCCTGTGCAACCTGGGCAGCATGAGGAGCCTCTATCGGATGGCGCGTCGCCAGCCCCCGCGCAGGACCCACCCGATTGACCCGCAGGGCGCAACCGCGCCTTCCAGGACCCCTTCCTCCGGCCGCACCGAGGAGTTGGGCCAGTTGGTCCTGCTGGCGCTCATGACCGCCCTTTTCACCGTCTGCTCCCTGCCGTTGATCGTAAGTAACTCTTAGGGAGGGGGGGGGTGTTTGAGAACTAATGGGAGAGGGCGGACGGGAAGGAGAACTGTTCCCGATTCGGCTTCGGCGCCCTCTGCGCGCGGCATAAATGCGCCCACCGAACACCTGATGGGTGCCGTCGATGCCTTTCTTACCCCACCTCCCGCCCCCCGGAATACGGTTTAACTACCCGTGGGGGGTGGTGGAATACGAGGGAAGATGAAAGTGCTCGCTTTGCTTTCGGAATTGCTTGTTTTGGATCTCGCTCTTTCCACGCGGGGCTGGGAAAGGTGGCTCGAAATCTTGGGGAATCTGTTAGCAGTCTGTGCCAGTAGTGCAGTCAATGAACCTGCCTCTGCGGGGGAGGGGAGGGGGCAGTGACGCCCCTTACTGTTTTGTGGGGGTGGGGTGGTTGGGCTGGTTCGGGACACCTGGCTGGGTTGCGGTGCAAGATTGTGTTTCCCTACCTCAGAGGTCTCCAAAGTTGGCAACCTTGCTGGCTGGAGAATTGTGGGAGTTGAAGTCCACAAGTCTTAAAGTTGCCAAGATTGGGGACCCCTGCCTTACCTAGACGGACAAATCTGCCTTTAAGCCCGGATGTATTGTCCTGCAGAGTTGGTCAAATTATTTTTGACCACTGGAGGCACAGTATCCCACACACAACAATTATTATTATTTTGTTTTGTCAAGCGATTATAAGATAACAGGTATAAGTATAAACATAGTTATGAACACATGAAATGGATACATATAAGAAAAATAAAAAGAAACAATAGGACAGGGATGGTAGGCACGTTGGTGCGCTTATGCACATCCCCTACAGACCTCTTAGGAAAGGGGTGAGGTCAATAGTAGACAGTTTAAGGTTAAAGTTTTTGGGGTTTGGGGAAGAAACCATAGAGTCAGGTAGAGTATTCCAGACATTGAACATTGAACATTGCACTTCTCTAGAAGTAAAAATACAGCATTTTCACCAAAACACAAAATCAACTGCTTGGGACAGCCCCAGCTACCTAATATTACTGTGTAAACCAATATGTTTTCCCTGTGCAGCGATTTTAGAGTGAATTGTTTAGCTCTAATCTTGTCTTATCTTATCTTGTCTTGTCTGAACCATTTGTGCACTTTTTTTCCCTTCCTTACCAAAATGTAATAATCAGAATTATCAAAAAAGAAAGAAAGTCCACATCACACAGGATGGCGGCTAGCAGATAACAGATAATCAGAGTTGGAAGGGACCTTGTAGGTCATCTGCAATCTTAACAGGATGGATTCATTTTTTAAAAAAAGAGCCAAGAAGAGGTTATCTGCCTTTTTTCTCAGAGGCAGAATTTTGAATGAGATTAAGTGTGGTTTTTTTTTTCTTCCTTTAACATGGAGGTGGTAAAAAATAGATCACTCTCATCCATCCTCCTTGTAAAAGGGGGAAAACGGCCCACTTCCTTTCTTTTTATAAGAATTTGGCTTTTGTTTCATCCATAGATTTAACCACAGGGAGAAGTTATTGGAGAAATGTCCAGGGTTGTTTTTTTCATTGTGTTCATTCACCTGTAGTCCATTTCTAATTCCAGATGCTTCTAGATTTTATGGTGATTTTAGAAATTAGATGTGTAATCTAGACATTTATATTGCAGTCCAATAAAGTGGAATTGAATAATGTTACAATGTAGATTTGAACTTGTAAACTGCAGTTTGGTTCCAATGTTACGACTTGATCAGAAACTTTTTTTAATGTTATTAAATACATAACATATATCAACAATCATATATAATTATTCTGTATTATTTGAATTGTTTTATGTTTTTATGATGGATGCCACCCAGAGTAACTGGTTGTGATGAGCAACTATAGAAAATAATCACTAAAACCTAATATATAATTTATATTCAAAGTGAAACGTTAAATTTAGGATTCAGATTTTTAACCTGCAGCTGAATTGCAAATCTGCACAAATTTTAGCTCCTGAGCACGATTCCCATCCAGTTATTTTCACTTCTAGGAAGGTCTCTCATTCTGAAGGGGTGAAGATTTCTATTCTCCAGGAGCAGAGAATTACTAGGAATGATGAAGGAAACTGATTTAAATTACTTTAAGTGTTTTCTTCTTAGCAATGTCCTAGACCTGTTCGTGGCGGGTGCGTGCATTTTAACTCATATTAAATCCTCTAAGATTTAGTGTGATTTAAGTTGCCAAATATCCAAACTATGCATTTTTAAGCCCCAGTAATGATAGAATTGTTCATCTGCATTCAGCCTGCCGTGTCTCCAAAAGTCAACAGTTATGAATTGATTAATTCCTGGAATTAGTCTGTTGAGTAAGAATTGTGAGTGATGGTGTATTTAAAGACTTGTTTTGGCTACTTATACATGCACAAAAACAGTTTAGAAATGCTTTGCATACCGTAAGCAATCAGGCCTAAAGAATAACCTTTTTTTAAAAAAAAATCTGAGACAGGACAGATATCAGATTACTTGTCCAGACAGTTACCAGGAGTCCATACTGATTCAAAGGCATAAAAATAAAATGACCCACTTGACTAGAGGGACTAGTGGAAGAGGGTCAGAAGGGGCTGCAGTAGCATCAAGGGGCAGCCCAGGAAGTGGAGCTGGCAGTGCAGAAAAGCACACCTGAAGAGGAGCAGCGCTGTCAATCCCTGGGCCAGTCACTTTCCTGGCCGTAACCAGAATAACAGAGTTGGGAGGGATGTTGGAGGTCTTCTAGTCCAACCCCCTACTAAAGTAGCAATAGCAGTAGCACTTAGACTTATATACTGCTTTACAGCCTTCTCTAAGCAGTTTACAGGAGTCAGCATATTGCCCCCAACAATCTGGGTGCTCATTTTACCAACCTTGGAAGGACAGAAGACTGAGTCAACCTTGACTCAGGTAGGAAAACCTGAGTAGGAAAATCTTTACTATTTCAGACAAATGGTTGTCCAATCTCTTCTTAAAAACCTGCAGTCTTGGAGCAGCCAAAACTTCTGAAGGCAAGCCGTTTTCATGGATTAATTGTTCTAACTCTCAGGGGATTTCTCCTTAGGTATAGGTTGCTTCTCTCCTTGATTAGTTTCCATCCATTGCTTTTTATCCAGCCTTCAGGTGTTTTGGAGAATAGCTTGACTCCCTCTTCTTTGTGGCAACCCCACAAGTTTTGGAACAAGCCAGCACCTTGGATACAAGGCCGGTGGTGAGAGTAGGAACACAACAAGCCTTTTTCCTGTAATGCATTAAAAAATGGTGTTTGGGAAATTGTTTTCTGGCTATGTATTTGCCTCCTGTTTCAAGGATGAGAGAACACATTAACAAGACTATGAGGCCAATTGACCTTTAGAGGCATAAGTGTCCCCAATAGGCAGATTCCATGAAATTGTTTTCTGGCTGAGCCTTTCTTTCGAGATTTTATTTATTTCATACAATCCCCTTACTGAATCTCCTTGCAGTGATTCAATAAATCAGTTATATCTTGGGCAAAAAAGCAAAAGTCCATTGGCTTTTCCACTATGAACTTACAAAAGAAAAAAACCACTGGAAAATCCATCGGATTTGGTGGGAAGGGGAAAGTGCAGAAAAAAATGAAATGATAAAGGCAAGAAATATGGTGATAATACATCTAGGTACTTAACAATATCACAGCCACCATCCAAGCAATTTCTAGCACAGTTGGCGTCCTATCTACCCACTCAAGGAAATTGATTTATTGTGCTAATTCAGAATTTATTTATTTATTGCTTTAGTTATTTGTTCAATTTCTATGGCTGCCCATCTCAGTCTCAATGCCAAATCAATCATTTTGAAGTATAAGGAATGGTCATCGCTTAGCATATTGTGCGGACTCAATCAATTGTAGCCTATTCAACAAACCATGGTTAAACAAGCCATAGCTTAGAATAGCATCTCAGCCAGTGTTTTAGTCAACCCTTGTCTTTGCTTTGATTGACAGTCACAACACTTCAGGAAAAGGGATCTTTTCCAGCTAGGGACTAAACTAGTGATCTTTAGTATATCTGCCAAATGTTACCTATGAAGTCTAGAATTGCTTTGTAATCCTAACCCTAATGGCGAGCCTATGGCACGTGTGCCATATGTGGCACACAGAGCCATTTGTGCCAGCACGCGAACCGCAGGCAAACTTACCTCACTGAGCATGTGCATGCCTCATAGCTCCTGTAATACCAGAAGTGACAAAACGGGCCTATTCGGCCTGCAGAGGCTTTTTTCAAGCCTCTGGGAGGCCAAAAAAGGCCTCAAACCAGTTGAAAATCAGCTGTGAGGCGCAGTACAGGTAAGGGGGGCAGTGGGGGGCACGGTTAGCCACCACTGCATAAGCCACTACCTGTTTCCTGTAGATCAGGGGTGTCCAACCTTGGCAACTTTAAGACTTGTGGACTTCAACTCCCAGA